TGGGGGTGACACTTTATCTTCTCTCCTAGCAACTCCTATAAGACAGCCTGCTCTGTCTGCACCAAGGGTGTCATGTGATGTTCATTCAAACATGCTCGGGAACATGTTTTTGATAGACACAATCTATCCAATATTTGACAAAGCCATAAAATCAGGGAACAAAAACTTTCAACCACTGCCACTCTTTCAGAGGTTGAATTTGGATCCAGAGCTCAAGAGCAGAAAGCCTCCTTCCCCTATCGTGCCAATCCATTAAAATCACACACTCACGGAAACTCTCTGTGGAGAAACTGTCACCGAACTATTAATAAAATCTTCCTGAACTGTTAATATGATCTGTGGGAGTTTTAATCCACTGTGGGGACTGATTATATAAGTGCGCAGGCACAAAGATGCTGTTTTTATCCTCAGTTTAAATGACCTTTCAGTTTAAATGCTTTTGTTTATGATTTAAATCTTCCTGAATCTAAGGGAAATTATTTTCTTTCAAAAGGGATTATATTTTGATTTGCAGTAAACTCACAAGTATGGTTGAAATTAGTGTTCATTTGGATTGCAAGATAAGTGTATGCTTTTCTGATTGCAAAAGGTAGAAGTTATGAGAGCATCTTAAAAATGTTTGTGTCACAAAATTAATATGTCCTGTAACCTAGAAATACTCTATAATTTGATTTTTTATGCTCAAGTCATTGATCTATGGAGCCAATACATGTAGTTCAGGAAGACTGGCCCTAAGCATCAGCCTGGTCTCCTTCCTGATTTTGGTATTCCAAAGATTGGTTTACTTTTCTGACACACTTTGGTAGAGGAGATGCTGGAAGATCATCTTGATTTTTAGCTTTCAGGCAGTTTGGAACAACAATACAGTAAAAGCTTTCTGATGCATAGTCATGCCAAAAAGAAATAGATGTTGTGAAGGTAAGAACAGGTAGAAATAGCAAAAAATTGTCTCTCATTGACCTCGTAGCTATCCCTCCTGAGCTATTTAGCAGAACATAATGTACTGAGGGTTTTCAGTTGCAGACTCATTTCAATTCAGAAATTTTCCTGCACAAGATGTCTGAGTTGAGAAGGGAAACTATGATCTCCATAACATTTTCCTCTGATCTGCAAGCTTGAAGACACTTCTCCAATCTGAGAGGAAAGATTTTGGGGGGCGGCAGGGATGGGGGGACACGGACGATGCTGTGGGAGCTCCACTGTGGCACTCAAGTGTTAATTTTTTTGTCTTCTTTGGGGATGATGTGGAAGGGAGTAACTGAAAACAGTATAGATATAAATATATAAAGTTTAAAAAAAAGAAAAGACAAATCAGGCAAAAGAAAAGTCCCATCTTACAGCACTGGTTTCATTCAATCAACAGGAATAACTCAACCCCTGTGTTTGGACAATTTTGTCTCTCTAGATTTGTCTACATTACTTTGGGAAGGTGCCACTGCAGCAATGTTAGATGCAGTCCCTATTTTAGTTCACTTCAGGTCCCAATGAAGAAGACCTGGCCAGACTCTGGAATGAGCTAGCTGCCCAATCAGGTATCCGGAGTCCTTTCATTGTTTCTTCCCTGCCCTTGCTGAATAGCAAATTAGCTAAGTTAACACTGGGTTAGATGTATTTATTCACATTGCAATTTCATCTCTGGGCAACATCTTAATATGTCCAGCCTGGTTTTCATATAAAATTACAGTAGTGCCCACAAATAATTAGGCCAATTCCTGAGTGCTATATTTTATTTACGCCATTGGAATAAAATGTAAATATATCCTCAGGATTGTGTATTTCTAACAAGGAATCAGCTTAAGAAAAGCCTCCATGATCCCAGAGTCCTTTCCACAGTAGGCTCCAAAAAATGTACCTCATTATAAAATACACCTTCCCAAGGAATCACAAGACATGAGAAATCAAAAGAGAATTCCTAAAAGCAAAAGCTCTCCAGCAGAAAATCAATTTCAGCTACTTTCACCTTGCCCCAGGGAAAGCAACAGAGGCACTAAGTGAGGTGTGGGAAAGGTCTCATACATCTTCCTGGAACTGCGCAAGGCAGACCTCCAGACGGGAGCTTTTCTTTCCAAGACAGCTCTGCTCTAATTAGAGACTTCTGCAAAATTGGTATGTTGCAGTTCCAAACAGTGTCTGAATGATTCCCATATCAAATTTCTTTTTAAAAAAATTGTGTCTTTGTCCTTGGTCTAATTGACAGCCTTACAAATGCAGGTGGACTGAGGGATGAAGGTCAAATTGAGATTATTGTGCTTAATAGGATAAGGAACAAAAATTATCAGAAAGTTTCACACAAATAAATGTTTGTTGGTTTTTTCCTGGCCATCATGCTGCCTTTTCAAGGGTCTTTGAGCATTTTCAGGTGTACCTTCAGAATGAAAAGAAAGCAATTGCCTTTAAATAAAGCTGTTATATGAGGGGCTTTCCTGTAACACTGATGTACCACACAGAATCTAGATTATGGACTCAACCATCTGTGTTGAGTGGACAGAAAATTTATTTTCTATATAGGAAAGTACATCCTTATCCTTAGCTGATTTTTTCCAGAGGCTGTCTGCCAGTTTAAACCCATGGCTGGTTCCTGTAATTCTCAGCATTCAGACCTTCTTGGGTAATGGGGTATCATTAAGGCTGGTCAACATGTTCTAAGGAAAACATGTTCCCCTTTGGAAATTAAGTCAGACTGACATTTCTCACTGACGATTGTGATTAATATAATCTGTGCACACCAGTGAGAAGGTGAAACAATTTTTCTTTTTTGAGTCGGTATAAATCTCTATGTCCTTATTCCCCTGCCTCCTATCTCTCATTTCTTTACTGCCTTTTGCTTCAAACTCAGACTGTATGTTCTGCACTAACCTACGCTGCCATGGTACAACCTGGGATGGCTGTGGCAGCTCAGAACCAAAGAGCAAAGGAGCCCAGAACTTCTTTAGAGCTATAGCTTGTGGGATGGCAGCCAGCTTGACAAATATAGAATTAAAAAAAAAAAAAAGACGGGGGGGCAAGTATGGAGCATTCAAATTTTTTTTTTTTTTTTAATTTTAGAATATTATGTGAAAAGTTTCAATCTTCACATTTTAAATCCAAAACACAGGAACAGCAAATGAGCAAATGAATATGTGAATTTTGCATAAGATGGCCATTTTTGGCTCTGGTCTGCTCTAAACCCCAATTTTAGGTTATCACAGAGTAGAAAATCACTTTTGGCTTCACTTCACACTTGTTGGTCAATGTTTTTTCTAGGTGGGCTCAGACTCTGCAGCTGTTTCTCAGCACAGCCCAGCTGAAGCCCCTGCAACCTGCAGCACTGCAGTAGTTTATATCAGTCAGAGCTGTCCCCCTAAACTCTAATGAATGTTCCAGCAGAAATGGAAATACAGTCATCTTTATAGTGCATGAACACCTCAACAGAACATGTGCTTAAGATGCTCAGCTCATAGTTTATTGGGATTTAAAATGGAATCACCTGTTATGTTACACGGCTTGGCCTCCTGCTTGCTGGCCTGACTACCCACTAGTCTTGCACAGAGCACCCAATATTGAGATTTGTAATGATTTCAGGTAAACTGATGGTTCCAAGATGTGTGCGGTTTATGCTGCCGTATAGCAAAAGAAAAAAGGTATCACTTAATGCCTGTGGCCACTCGCAAACATTACCTGAGTATGGTTGAGGACGACTGCCAGGACAATCCATGGCCAGTGCTAAAGAGCATAGAGAGTCCTGCCAATCTGCCTTGGGTGGCAGGAGGTGGGGTGATGCCTACATAGTGCTAAATCTGGGAAGTAATTTGACCTTGAAGCAGTGCAGAAGCTATACGGAGCAGGTGTATAAGGGGATTTTCCATATCATCTCACAAATCCACCCCCTATCCTCACCAGCTGAGTTCAATCTCTGGTGCTCTGGAGGAAAGTGAGAGAAAACCCCAGGATAGCCCGTGCTAATTGTGGGGGGAATAAACCTGCCTGAGTCCCAGAGCCAAAGCCCCAAAGGAAGAGACCTGATTATGCTCTGTCTTTATATGCTGAGCTTTAGGGGCTAGGAGCACACACAGGATGAGGACGGCTTCATCAAGATCTCCCTTCACGGGGGGAAGACAGGCACCTCTCCTCTCTCTGGAAGCTTATTTGCACACAGGAGCAGCGGTCGTCCCACTATACATGCAAAAAAAATCCTAGGCTTTTCCCTGACTGACTGACATTTGTTATAGGAGAGTGTAGGTACAAAATACCCATCACAATATACAATAACCTTTAAAGACTTGCCAGCAGCCTCCTCTTCTATTAAGCGTGCCAGGCTGGCGGAGCGGAGCAGGACGCTGTGGCAAACAGCTCCCTGGTGGGACACTACCTGCATGTTAATGCCGAGGGTGTTTGTGCACAGCCTGGCCGCCAGCGCTCGGCTCCGGCAGTTTCCATGGTGCCGTCATGGTGCACTCTCCCTACACCTTCACTTATCAGCATTTCCCACCCATCCTCCTCCCCATAATATGCTGCTCGCTCACCCCGAAAGGTCAGCCATTGTAATGATGATTTTAGCAGGGGGGAGGCAGGGAGGCCGAAGGGTGAAAAGGTGAGCTGTGTGCAGCAATATGCGTGGGAACCGGGGCTTGCCTTACACTGCACAAAGAAAAATTAGAAAGCTTCCCCTCGAGGGAGTGGTGCTCATCAACCCCCTCTCACTTCCCATCCCGGCCAAGTCAGATTCCTGATGGAGTTAAAAAATGTTCAGGCAAAGTGGCTGGAGAGCCTACTTTAAATCATCGGCAATTGATGCGTTAGTGCATGGAGGGGAGAAGGGACTGCGTCTGCTAGCAGAGGAAACTGATGCAAATGTTTCCAGGCGTCTTTCTTTTTCCATCTCCTTCCTGTCCCCTCCTAGCAAGCCTGGTGCTCGTTTGCAGATGGGAAGAGGCAGACTTTTTCCTCTGACTTTCATTCTATTGACTGCTGGACTAAAGCACTGCATCTATTAATTGCCTCCCTTTTCTTTCTTTCTGTAGGACAGCTTTCCTGCCCGTTTTGGAGGAGTCCATTTTGTCAACCAGCCCTGGTACATCCATGCCCTGTACACACTAATCAAACCGTTCCTCAAAGACAAGACAAGGAAAAGGGTAATTAGAAGGGGCCGGGGGGAATTGGAAGCTGCAGAGCCAGAGCAGCTGAGTAGCTGCCTGTTTTCTTTTCTTCCTTCTTTTTCTCTCTGCATTTTTCATATGGCCTCAGAGAATTGCTGCTGTTATTAGAACTTAGGGTTTGCAATGGTCTGTATTGAATCAATAACTCAGCCAGGGACCAGAAAGCTGTTATCCCTAACAAAGTGTAGATACATTTTAATGGGATGTGTTCAGGGACAGAGAGAATTGGCAATGTGGAGGGATTATCAGGCCTGGCTGAGGTCACCTGCAGTGAGGGAAACTTCAGCTCAACTCTTTTTGTGAAAGTAAAATTTCCTATTTCATTCCTTCAGCAAGTTTACTGTTTTCACATGGTGGTAAGTCACTTGCTTCCACAAGAAGTGCCCATGCCTGAAGACTGTTTGTTTACACTGCAGAACAGGCAGGTCTTCTGCACAGAAACGTATGTGAACTGTGCTCCTGCAATCATCTTAGCCATTTGTCCTCTGCAGTCTATCAAACAACCACTGGATCATCCCTTGGGAGGCTTCAGAGCCTACCCTGGGGTGTGTCTGACCAGGCAGGACAAGGGTAATGCCAGCCTGAAAGCAAAGAGTGATTAAGAGAGACATTAGTTGCTGAAGCAGTGCAGTGTCAACACAGACCTACACCCCTGGGAAACATCAGTCCTGGCATGCAGGGTTGCGTTGCCCTCTCAGACTCTGAGGATCTACTCTTCACATCTTTCAGTAAGCTCCACTATCTCCCTTTTCTTCTCACTGCTCTTTGTACAGGCCTCTATCCTCTTACAGTAGCAATAATCAGTCCTTATTCCTGACTTGCACTTTCCCTGATCTGGTAGTTAAGAAAATGCAAGTGTCATGTGCCAAAAGTAAGCAAATCAGGATTTTTCAGAAGTGTTTATCATGCCAGCCCAATTCTTCAGCTGCACACCCCAAAGCTAATGCCCCTCCTCCCACCCCACACCAGCCTTGAGCACTTCAGAAATTCCCACCTGAAACTGCAGTGTCAACAAAAGATGCTCCACACTTCATTAATGCTGTTATTGTTGTACTTAATGAAGTAAGGAATTGATAATGACTTTGAACTTTCTTTTTATTTGTTAAAGATCTTCCTTCACGGTAACAACCTGAACAGCCTTCACCAGCTAATACACCCTGAATGCCTGCCCTCTGAATTTGGGGGAACTCTTCCTCCGTATGACATGGGGACGTGGGCTCGAACACTACTTGGTCCTGACTACAGCGACGAAAACGAGTACACCCACACCTCCTACAACGCCATGCATGTGAAGCATGTGTCCTCCAACCTGGAGCGAGAGGCCTCGCCCAAACCCATGAAAAGGTTAGTACTGCCTTTGAAATCATCTCTTGTTTGTCTCTCTGAAAAGGTTTGCCATAAATCTATCAGGAAGGGCTCATCTGGCTTGGAGAGAGGCTGCAATTTGGCAAACGTTGACAGTAAAGAGCAGTTCACCTTGGACTGCATTCGCAGTGTGGTGGCAGAAATGGAACCTCCTCTCAGCAAAAGACAGACAAGGACCTACTGGAGCAAGTCCGGAGGAGGGCCACAAAAATGATCAGAGGAATGGAACACCTCTCCTATGGAGAAAATTGGGGAGAGTTGGGGTTGTTTAGCCTGGAGAAAAGGCTCCAGGGAGACCTTATTACAACTTTTCAGTACTTAATGGGGGCCTATAAGAAAGACAAGAACAAACATTGAGCAGGGCCTGTAGCAATAGAATAAGGGGTAATGATTTTAAACTAAAAGAAGGTAAATTTAGACTAGATACAAGGAAGAAATTCTTTACAGTGAGGGTAGTGAAACACTGGAACAGGCTGCCCAGAGGGGTGGTAGAAGCCCCATCCCTGGAAACATTCAAGGTCAGGCTGGATTGGTCCCTGAGCAACCTGATCTAGTTGAAGATGTCCCTGCTCACTGCAGGGGGGTTGGACTAGATGACGTTTAGAGGTCCCTTCCAACCCAAACCATTCTATTATTCTCTGCACAACCATAATTACTGTGAAGGAAAACAAGGGGAAATTAATGAGCCCCTGCACACAGCATTATAGAAAATATATCAGGTGAGGTGCTCTTCTGTACAGCGTAGTGCGGCCAGCAGCACCACTTCAGTGCTGGTCCCTGTTGCTGCTGCTGACCCTAGTTGTTAACCATAAGGGTTTTTACCTCCTTGGAAATGCTGCTTTTGTATGATGAACACCACTGCCCTCTTAAGGGAAAATGGGTCAGTCTCCTCCTGCTGCTTCTGCTCCTGCTTTCTCAGTCCAGCCCTGCTAAGGCAGCAGAGCTGCTCTTTTAAGATCTCTGATTTTAGATCTAGTGGTTGTGCATTCTGCTCTGAATAATAAAAATTACACCTCTTGAGAGCATCACCCTCAGTAATTTGCACTGGTTATGGGGGTGGGGTGAGGAGGGTTGGATACCTGGCACAGGTTTGCAGGTGGTACAGCAGAGCCAACACCAGCTGCAGTGAGCAATGTCTGGGTTGTCTCCCCTCCAGAAGCATAACATCTACACTGGCTTCACCCTCCATGTCCCACTCCACTAAACTGCCTTTCATGCAGGTTGCAGTGATGCTTTAACTCACTGCTGCCTCTTGATGAGTGCAGTGCTCACAAACAAGGTGTCACTCCGCATGACAGGGAGCAGCCATCATTTTGTCACAGCAAAATCAAAGCTGACAACACAGACAAACCATAATGTCATGCAATTCATTTTAAAAGAGTTTCATCTTCAGAGGAAAACCAAAATGCATTCTTGATTCACAGCTCCCTCCCAGGTCAGAGGGATACCGTGCTTCTGCAGCTGCAAAGTGAAGCCTCGTGCTGCAAACACTCACACTTATAAGTGACATTATGTACTGTGAGTTCCATGACTCGCAGGGCCATGAGACCATGGGGATATGACCCTCTGCAGGTTGCAGCCACAGCATAAAGAGGAGTGGCTATCTGCATAGTCAGCAGTTCTCACTACTGACTGCCAGCCAAGGACAAGTTTACAGAGCCTGTCTCAGAGAACTGATTTTAAAACAACTTTTTTGTTTGTTTGTTTTTAATATTAGCAGTGGAACACACTAAATGATTTTAGCAAGATGCTAACCAAATATTTCATATAATTATTATATATATATTACTAGTGTACAATTTATGTAGGTACAATTTATAGAAAGAAACTTGCAGTTTTTAAAGCTCCGAAGTGTTAAGAGCTGTTCACAGGTAAATCTTTCCAGAGGATCAGATCCTTGTCTGCAATGAAAGAAGAGTCTTATTGTGCTCTCAGGGAAGAACCTCAGCTTGAAAACAAGCTCAATGACAGAAAACCCTGCCTTCAGGCAAAGCCTTCTTTTATAATCTGTTCACTAATACAAAAGTGCATTAGTACAACTATGGTGAGTGGACGAATCTGATTTGTCATGTTGCCTCTGGGCAGACTAGATCTAACTTTTAGCCTAATTTTGTTACTCAGTGGTTAAGTGAACCATCTGATCTTATAGTCCGTGGTCATTATTAGCTGTTGGAGGTGAAAAGTTCACTGCTTCGACAGATCTCCTATGAGTATTAGCTTTGATTCTTCTTCTCCTGAAATTATGTTTTGGCCTATCTTGAGGTGAAAGCCTACATTTAGAAAGCATAAGTGTGTGCTTTATTAGATTTATTAGACCAGATTTATATCTAAGGCCTATTCAAAGGTCTAGGGACTTCTACCAGCATTACCTGTCTTTATAGATCTATATAAGTTTATATATTTATACATCCCTCCTCTTCACTCTTTAGGTTCATACCTCCCTAACACAATGAGAGTCTCAGGCCATGGCTGAGATTCTGGATCTTCCAGGAAGGTTTACACTAAGCATAGGTGATCTCCTAGCATTAGTCTTCATCTTATGGCCCTCACAATGGCCCTATCATTTTTTCCCTCATTAAAGCAATTTTGCATTAAAAATCTCTCCCCTCCTCCCCCACTAACAGCACAAAATTATTTAAACTCTTGAGTAAACATGAGAATTTAATAAGCATTTCTATGCTGAAATGTTGGCTTTCACAACAACAACAAAAAAAAGGTGGCTGACCCTTTCTCTAGCACTTAATGTTCTTCTGAAAGGGGTAAATATGTGAAGCTTGAGCTTTCTTGGGTTTCTGTAATTTAAGGTTGAAAACCTTTGCTAAACAATTATGGGTCCTCTCCTCTCTGTCTTCCCAGATATCACTGCAGGTTTACCTGCCCAGTAATTATCTGCAGGGGAGGGCAGTGTTTATGAGAAGTGGATTTACCCGGGAGGCTGCAGGGATGGTGGTTGTTCCTCACCTGGGGCACTGTGCCTCTATGTGACCAGGTGCAGGGTTGTAGGTTTCCCCTCCCGGCTCCGTGGCCACTTGCTGTAAAGCCATACAAGTACATCCTCACTAGAGCTACCCCTGGGCCACGGCTGTGTTAAAAGCTTAATCTTGGAGCTCAGTGCTGCTAGAATAGCTTGGAGTCTTGCACTGTGACCACAGAGAAATGTCCCTGTGAAATGTAGTAAAAGTAACAGCAATTCTGAGTCTGAAAATTGCTGACCCGGCAAAGCTGAGAAGAGAGGCCTCTCTCAGAGATGGCCATCCTACACCTAGAGTGAGCTCACCCTGGGCACAGCCTACCCCAAATACAGGGTCTAGCACTTTTACTAGTAGAGATGCTGAGAAATCAAGATAGGAATTACAGATCTGGAAGAAAAATAGCAGGAAACAGAATCAGAGAATTGGAGCCACTTAATCTATGTTAGAAAATGAATGTAGAAGGGAAGAAAGAAGGTATTTTCAAGATGTGACTGAAATCAAACTGTAGTCATCACCTGAAAATCAAGTCTCAAAATGCAGACCAGGAGAAAATGCAGCACCAAGCAGCAGTGCAAGGGAGTGAAATGGGAACAGGTACGTTCCCATATGTTGGCTTGAGAACTGACAGCAGTGCTTTGGCTGCCATCACCAGGGAGGATGAATATAAATTTAAACAAGTTCACCTGAGAGGTGCAAGGACAGTGAAGAGAGGGGAGAGCGTATTTTTCCAGCAAGCAGCTACAGAAGAGAGTGGTTTGTTCAGTCTCGCAGAGCAAAGTTTGAAGTAGATGTGATTGTTTTCCACATACACAGAAGGGAACAAAAACAGTGGAGAGAGAACAGGTATTTGAGAAAAAGGACAGCTTAGACATGAAATCAAATGGGCCTAAACTGACCAAAGTATACCTTGGCTGCAAATTAGAGGAGGAGGTTTGCAAGCCATCAGAGGAGTGAGTTACTGAAACAGCTTGTTAGTATGACAACCTCACTGATACACGAGTGAAAGGTCTGATACGAGGTGGCTACCAGTGGCCACAGGAGACTAGACTTGCCCCTCAAAGTGTCATTAGGTTGGAATTTCTGCTCCCCTTTAAAGCAATGGGACCAGAATGTTATCTTCTCTCCAACCACAGGCAGGGGTGGTTTTTCCTGTGACTTGAAATTGCACAAGATTTGTTCTCAAAAAAAGAGTCCTTTGTTTACCTTACAGAATAGAGGCGTTGTAGATGGGGAAAAGATTAAAAATCCTCTTAGAAAAAAAATGCCACTGACTCCAGGTAGCGATGTCATCTTGAAAATCTTGAGATTTGACAAGATCCTATAATACAGAAAATCTTTAAACAAAACCAACACAATTGTCATTTTTCCACCAGAGGCCACATGAAGCCCCACTGGGGCGAAATCAAAACAGTGGAAATTGCTCTCCCATCTGCAGTATTATCTCACACCCTGGGAAAAATCTCAGAACTCAAGTACTGAATGAGCAGATGGAAAACAAAGCAAAACAGCTGATGACTCCACATAATGAATCTTAATGGCCAGGGGGGAAAATTCACCAACCCAACAATAACAAAATCCATTCAGAATATATCTGTTTATTAAGATTCAGCTCAGTAAAGTTTCCAATGGGCAAAGCAATAAACATACAAACCAGCATTAATACAGTAATAGCAAAATAAATTCAATCCGAGATCTTGGTCTTGTCTGTTTGATAATCCTGGGAGTAAAGGCAACACACACTGTCCCTCTCTCAGGCCATCTCTTCTGAACGGTCTGCATCCACGCAGGGAGCCTATCACTTACCAGCTGTGGGATTTGAGAGCAATGTAAATGGTGCAAAAATTTGGAGCATGGGGAAGGAAATCACCTCCCTTTCAGCTGTGGCCAAACCTTCTTTGAGCCGTGATGGTCAGAAAGGGGCCTTGGGTTGCTCTAGTCAACAGGGAGCTAACGCAAAAGCAAAGCAGCTGCCTGCGGCACTCATGCTGGCTTTTGTTGGTGAGCTGT